TTTCTTTAAATAATGATGGTCTCGTTCGTAGTACGGCCAAACCTTCAGGTACTTTGATATCGCCAAGCGATTTATTCACAAGCTTCTTGAAGAAGCGGGACAGCAGATTTGGACTGAAAAAGCCATCAGCATCTTTGAAGTCTTCCCATTCACGGCTTTCGAGGGAGAGCTTCGCATATCCATCGCCTTTGTCACAGGGACAAAGTAATGGCGTGTTCGTAAGAGAATCCATTTGAATCATGAAGTCAAACTCATTTGGCTCACGAACTTTGGTTCCTTCGTAAACGCTTCCGCTTTTGACCAATGTACTCTGAAATCGGCTGTCGTGCTTTTCCACCTGAGTTACGATGTTTCTTACGAGGATTTCGAGTTTCTCTCGAATCAATTCGGCTTCGCTTTCGTTTATAAACCTAGCTTTTTCTTCAAATCTCTCCACAATGTACGACATGATGGCGGAAAAACTCTTTTGCTAAACAAGCAAGAACTTTCCATATGCGTCTCACAGAATATCAAATATTGAATATTTGAACTTCCTAATATGGGCTTTTCAAGTTGTTGCGTTGTTTCCGGTGCCTATTATCTTGTGCAGAATCACGGAAGTCAAACTGATATAACTCAAACAAGCGCTGTTTCTTGGAACATAAGGAAGACACGGTATATAAGGAGAGACTATTCTCAGAAATGGGACATTTTAGGTACCCCTTTCTTTCTCGGAATAATTACAAACAATTGGACGATTGGAAATTGTCCTGGGCAATGGTAAAACAGGAAAATAATGTGGACACATTAAGCTTGTTCTTACAATTCAACTAACCAAAGTTTTTTATCTAACGCCTCCAAGGGGTTAATTTATTTGTTTGAGGATTTACCATTCCAAACTTTAAATCATTAAGCTTACAAATGAAACCAGTCTAATTAAATACAGATTTAAGGTGAAAAACAAAATAAAACAAACAATTTAAAGCAAAAAGTATAGAAGGGTAACACGAGATGAAGAGTGAAAGCTATCCTCATAATAGTTATTTAACCCTGAAAATGTCAGTTGAGAATGCACTCTGACTGCTCCTAATCCGGCCGACGGTTCATATTTCTCTCAGCAGTTGTGCGAGCTGGGAGAGTTAATCTTTGTTGATCTCAGTTTTATTTTTAAAAACTTTCATAGATCACTATAACCCACAAAATTATAAGCTTGATTGTGCATCTACGTGGAGTGTAAACTTAAAATGTGTCTGTACAGTTTTGATAGAGTTTTTACAGACGTATACACAGTCACTCTTCTTGGTTTCGTGACAGCGTGACACTAACGGAATTATCATCTCTTGTAAACAAGTTTGTCTGGCTGTGTGAACTGCGTCATGGGTTGTCCCCCGATTCCACATGTTCCAAAGAATGATTATGTCAGTGTTTTTGGCCATCTCAAATAAATTATCATGTTGTTCTTGTAGTCAGCCTCCAGAACTGAATTCCAGGATAATTATGACGAGTCACAGCAATGTCCTCCCACTCAGAGGATAAACCGTTTTCTTAGAATGGCGGGCAGTTATGCATCACCAAGAATATCCGGTACACCAGGCTTCTTCTCACATCAGGTCGACGTCTTTACGCTCTTGAAGATTGTTCCAAGTGTACAAACTACATTTTGGATAACAGTCTCCTTTTTTAAGTGTAACTGACGGCAAATTTCCCCCTTTTTTTGTCCCAATACATTTCTCTTAGGTTAAAGAATCCTAAAGGAGCAAATGAACCATATCTATCGTGCAAAACCAAATTTTCTATAAACCTTTTTGACGTTTAATCGACGGCCATTTGGAAAGGTTCCGATCCAGGAAACGTCACACGTATGTAAGGCAGCAAAAAAG